TTCATTCACTAAAGCTTAAAACATCTGTCATTTGGTAAAATTGAGGGGGTGTTATTTGCTTTTATCATTCTGTACAATTGATGTTGATGGGGTGTTATCTGCTTTAGTCATTCTGTAGAGTAAACAGGGTGTTATCTGGTCTAGTCATTCTGTAGACTATTGAGGGTGTTCTCTGCTCTTGTCATTCTGTAGACTAAAGAGGGTGCTCTTTGCTCTAGTCATTCTGTAGACTAAAGAGGGTGTTCTTTGCTCTAGTCATTCTGTAGACTAAAGAGGGTGTTCTTTGCTCTAGTCATTCTATAGACTAAAGAGGGTGTTCTCTGCTCTAGTCATTCTGTAGACTATAGAGGGTGTACTCTGCTCTAGTCATTCTGTAGACTATAGAGGGTGTTCTCTGCTCTAGTCATTCTGTAGACTATAGAGGGTGTTCTCTGCTCTAGTCATTCTGTAGACTATAGAGGGTGTTCTTTGCTCTAGTCATTCTGTAGACTATAGAGGGTGTTCTCTGCTCTAGTCATTCTGTAGACTATAGAGGGTGTTCTCTGCTCTAGTCATTCTGTAGACTAAAGAGGGTGTTCTCTGCTCTAGTCATTCTGTAGACTATAGAGGGTGTTCTCTGCTCTAGTCATTCTGTAGACTATAGAGGGTGTTCTCTGCTCTAGTCATTCTGTAGACTATAGAGGGTGTTCTCTGCTCTAGTCATTCTGTAGACTATAGAGGGTGTTCTTTGCTCTAGTCATTCTGTAGACTATAGAGGGTGTACTCTGCTCTAGTCATTCTGTAGACTATAGAGGGTGTTCTCTGCTCTAGTCATTCTGTAGACTAAAAAGGGTGTTCTCTGCTCTAGTCATTCTGTAGACTATAGAGGGTGTTCTCTGCTCTAATCATTCTGTAGACTAAAAAGGGTGTTCTCTGATCTAGTCATTCTGTAGACTATAGAGGGTGTTCTCTGTTCTAGTCATTCTGTAGACTATAGAGGGTGTTCTCTGCTCTAGTCATTCTGTAGACTATAGAGGGTGTTCTCTGCTCTAGTCATTCTGTAGACTATAGAGGGTGTTCTCTGCTCTAGTCATTCTGTAGACTATAGAGGGTGATTAACATAGATTACCGTAGTTATTTAACATTAGTTTCAACAAAATAGCAACAGTTGATTAGTTATTTAATATTAGTTTCTCTTGACTGACTTATTCTGTTAAGTCTGGTAACATGTGATACCAGTATGATATTTCCAACTCAATGATTTTAATTAAAACATCGATTTCAATCTATTTCCTTTAATTGATTACTCTAATACATAATTTATTTTTTATCTCTTGAAAACTTTTGATGTGCTGACTAAAAAAAATTATAACACTAATATAAATGTGATTTTTTTATTGTCTTGATTAGAATTTAGATTAATTTGATTTAAAAAAAACTAAATTGTTGGTCTAAAAAATGTGCATCAAAATATCATACTATTGTCATACCAATCAGTTTTATTGAAATATTATTGAGACTTCTCTCTGACTGCATTGAGCTTCGAATTGAAATTTTTCTCTCATTTCATAAATATTCAAAATAAAATTTTCAATTGCCATTTGTCTTTTGGTCCATAGAAATATTAGGTTCAGTGATTTTACATTTGAAATAGACACACTTCCCTCACAGAAAATTCCCCTCTGTAAAATCAAGTTTACAAATATCAACTTTCCCAATGGTTAACATTTTCATCTACCCAAAGACAATCTAAAACTCTCAGTAGTATTTTGTAGTTGATATTTTAACAATTACTGACAATTGAGGGCAGAATTGGAACAGACGGAACCTTTTCGGAACTTTACAATCAATTGCTACCTAGGTGTATAGTATTTGTAATATTTTTGGACTCTTTATTTTCAGTGTTATTATGTTGGTGGTGTAGAAACATCAGCTACTGGTATATTAAATAAAATCTCAGACCCAATCAAAAATCATCTACCTGAAAGTTTGATTTGTGAAAAATTGAAAAAAGCTGATAGTCAGATTTGTGATTTGAAATATGGTATGTAATAATTTATTATTCGGAATTTTATTGTTTGTAGCTGTTCTTTATTTGTAACTATTTGCCTCCTGTATTTTAAGAGATTGTAAGGTTTTCTAAACTTTTAAAGGAATTGATGTAAAGAGGTTTCTTCTAAATTTGTTATGGGTATTGGTGACACTGATAGCATCAATTTGCACCATTCCAATTTTCAATCAGACATCTGTGGTTCCTGCAATTCCACTCAAACTAAGTTGTTTGATGGTGTCACTAATTGTGAAGGGCCTTCAGTGAAAAAAATTTTTTAAATAGACCACAGATGTCTAATTGAAAATGGTGTAAATTGATGCTATCAATGCCACCAATACACAGGAATAGTTTTAAAAACCTCTTTAGATTAACTTTAATACTACTTTTATTTGCAATTAATTACCTGAAGGAAGCCCACAACAAAATTTATGACTTGATATTTTTTCAAAATATAAATATCTGTGTATCATACATTTCTTTACTCCATGTAAATTAATGCAAAGCTTTTCATGGCAACATCAAAATCTTGTAATTTGACTTATTTGAATTGTCTCCCTTTAGTGTGTCAAGGGAGATAACTTGCACATTAGATTTCTGCTTCTGGCTCTTATAAAATTTGGAATGTTTCTCCTTTCAGATAAAAGTATAGATTTTGCCACTGTTAAGTTAAATAAATTGAAAGTGAAAGATTTGAAGAAGATTTTAGATAATTGGGGAGAATACAATGCTTGTAAAGGATGTGCTGAAAAATCAGATTTCGTGAAAAAAATCGAAGAACTTTTACCAAAATATGAACCAGAAGCAGCTCAGAAACGAAGTGAAAAGAGTGAATTATAATAGATTTAGGTTCTAGACAATTTTAGTTATGTTTTTCTTTTTTGTTCATCATTAATGTGAGAGGTCACTGTTACTGAATGATGTGTAGGCCTGTATTGAGTGGTTGGGTTCAGACATTTTGTTCTGTCAGTGAGTTTATAATTTTCTGGTGTCAACAGATCCAAATTGAAAAGTTTGAGAAAAGTATGATATTGCCAGAAATCAGCATATCTTTCCTTTAGGTATATTTAAATGTTGTATTTTCATAAGTGACATTAGAATTCAAATAAGAAAGTTATATTATAATTCTGTATATTTTGGTATATCACAAGCATCATTTCAAATTGACTGCCACTGCAAAATGATATGATATAATGTATGTGAATTGTATGAATGATATTTGTTTGTTATGGTTATAGAAGGTTTGATCTGTAGATCTGTCAATCTAATGAAAATTAGATAACAATTTCGTTTCGACATTATTTTTTGTCAGTCTCCATTGTAATCTAAAAAGATTTTTACCAAGGACACATGCTGTTGATATTTATTTCAACCAATTACAGCACGTCATGCAGAATTTGTGTCTAAACCCAAAGTAGAGTGATATGACTTATGAGATTATGATTGGCTGGAGAGATTATCTTCTGTAAATAGCTTGAAACATCAGCAGTATGTGACCTAGGTATAAATTTTAGATTACAATGGATACTGACAAACAAAAGTAAGGAAACAAAGGTGTATTCTAAATTTATTAGATAGTAGGTCTGTATGAACACTTTTCATCTGTTATACTTCATATAAAATTTTCCCTACCTCTTTATTATCTCCCCTTAATGTGTCAAGGTATATAACTTGTTTTTCAAAGGAGAAGATTCATTCACTATTTTGAGTCATATCGAATCAAAAATTCACTGGCATGAGAATAATGTAGTTTAAAATAGAGGAAAATAAGAAAGTTTATTTAGAATGAATGGAATATGAATGAAAGATTTATTGTTGTTATATGTATTATTTTCTGAAAAATCCATTATTTCTTGTATATCATCTGCTCAAAATATAACAATTTTGAAAAAACTTTTGACTGCAACATAATGGGCACAGTTTTATCAGTTTTATTTGTGAATTTTCTTAATGTCTCAAGTTCCTTATTTGGCAGAAAACATCACAAAGTTTGTATACAAAAACAATTTTGAACAATATTCTTATGCCTCATTCGATACCTCTTGTGATTACCTTGTTCTCAGGGTCAATGATTGATTTGCATGAAAGTTGTGATCACTTTTTTCACAGCAGGTATCGAATGTAGCATTGAATACAGAATATATGGTAAACAAAAGGAAATCTGAAGATATGCTTTTAACTTTTAAATGCAAAATTATTTATTTATTAACTATTATTGTTGGAAGACCATTGAAATCAAGATTAAATTTGGTGCAACTCTTATTGTTGAAGTGATTGATATAGTTGTTAGATGTTATGTGTCTGTATAAAATTCACTGTTAGAAATGTATTCTCAAGTTTTTGTAAATAGATTTCAACATTAAAATAAGATAGAAATTTCTGTAATTCTTTTTGTTTGATAAAAATTGTCTTATAGATGTAATCACATTACTTATCAAATGTATAACTTTCTTAAAGATAGGTTCCCTTATTTTATTTATGAAAATGAAAATGCTAATACTTATATGAATAGAAAGTAGAGGTGTTCTAATGACTTGGAAAAATAACAGTTTGTCTCAGATGTCCATAATTAATTGATAATTAACTAAATTAGAAGAGAATTACCAGCAGAATTCCAATGAGTGACCGATCAAGAAAGGTCAAATAGTCTTTTTTATACGCCCACATGAAATGGGGGGCGTATATTGTCGTCACCCATATCCGTCGGTCCGTCCATCTTTCCATCCACAATTGCTCGTAAACACTCTACAATTCTTGACGGATTTTGACAAAACTTGGTATGAGTGATCGTAATCACCCAAGGATGAACCCTATTGAAAATCAGACGAATCGAAAAATATTTAGTATGAGTTATTGCCCTTGTTCTTGAAAACTCGTTCAATTTATAGCTCGTGGGCGTATATTACCTTGCCTGGCAAGCTATCTTTTGTTTATCCAGACAGTACATACTCGGACATTTATGATTGGTTAAAACTCTTAATTATATGCAATTTTGCTTAATTTGACACTAAAAAATAAGGAAACTCATCTTTAAGGAATGATATCTGCTTAAATTCGCCATCTTCCTTTCTGATCTCAATCTATTGATGTGGACTCTGAATGGTAAAAACTCAATCCATGCAAATTATAACTTACAAATAATATGGACCATCTTTATTCAATAAAACAATTTTATGCAGGCAATTAAAGGGACAAGTGTGCCATTTTCTGGGGGTTGATTTGAATGTTGAATATAATTATGTTAATAGTCTTCAGAGGTACTAGAAATGTCTGAAAATCACATAATTCTTTTAAAAATACTTTTACTCACTTTTCCTATATATGCCTTTTCTATATATGTATCTTAAATTTGGTGGTCAAATTTCGAGGTGAGCTTTAAACACTATTTCAGTTTCTATGACTACAGTATAATTGGTGAAAAAAAGGCCTACCTGTCCCTTTAATACATTTAGCACTATTTCTGTGAGCTGAAGTAAATGTAGGCTATGACAAGGCAAATATTTAAAATTGAATCTTAATGTTTTGTGGAGCGTACAGCAAGTCTTCATATTGACAGAATACATCTGTCATTGGATGAAAACGCATGAAGAAGTTTCAGACTAAGAACTAGTAGCCTTGATCATCATCTTACTACTAGTATTATTTCATATGGAACAATCCAAGATAGCATGATATACCAGACACAGGTATTACATACAGTCCCAAGTTATGTATTCTGAAAATGATCTTAGTGCTAGGACATCCTGAAAACAGTGTTAGAAGTTAAGAACTTGGGATATCCTGGCGCTAAGATCCTTTTGAGAATACACGGCCAGGTGTGGACTACATCAATCATACAAAAGAATAATTCATTGTTTTATTCACCATAAAATGAGTTTATTATGACAAAAATATGAGTAAAGAATAAAGATTGCACATCTGATGTTAGCACTAGTTGATAACCTATAATATACATATTTCATATAAAAAAAATATTTTTTTTCTAGTTTTTTACAATAAATTATAAATTGAAAAATATCACAGTTTACAAAAATATTTACAAAAAATATCAAGGTGAATATTTTTTTTTATAGATATCTGCTCAGAGACTTTACCAAAAATCTTTTTCCGATCTACTCTACTGAAAATATCTTCAGATGTTCTCTGGGACAATAAGATAACAAATGACAGCCCCCTCGCAACCGAAATCCCGTACTTTGTTTAGTTAAAAAATAACGTCACTAAAACTGGACTGCGGTAGAAAATTTGTTAGATTACAATGGAGACGAAAATATCTTGGAAATTATTGTAGTCAAATTGGAGGAACACCGGCTCATTTTGAAACAAGGAATAAGGAATAAACTAGGAGTAAGTTATAAATTTTTATCGATTACTGAAGGTTAGATTGATCTCTACCACCACAAGTATTCACAAAGCCCACACGTACCTACTTTTCGGTAGGAAGACTTGGGATTGGTAACATCGAAGCATGAGAAATAGCAGACATATGGTGGCACTGTGGTACTGACATCCCGGACGTATGCGACATTCCAGACAATGGAGGATGTGGCATTGCAGACAATGACGTAGGCGACATTCCAGACAATGAGGGATGCGCGATTCCAGACAATGAAGAATGTGATATTCCAGACACCGAAGAATGTGACATTCCAGACAAAAAAGGATATGACATGTTCGACACTGGATGGCGTGACGAAGCAGATTCTGTCTGATGTGCTGAAGTAGGCGGGTGTGACATCACAGCTGAAGGGTTGTGCATCCCTGAAAATGAAGTTTGTGATGTGATAGACGCAGGAGGATGTGGTGTAACAGACCCAGGAGGATGTGGCGTAACAGACCCGCGAGGGTGAGATGATGCTGGTTGTTGTGACGGCACAGATCCTGATTGATTTGAAGTCATAGACCCCGGTGGATGTGATGGTACAGATCCTGACTGATGTGAAGTCATAGACCCTGGTAGATGTGACGTTACAGATCCTGACGGATGTGAAGTCATAGACCCTGGTGGGTGTGACTGTACAGATCCTGACGGATGTGATCCTGGATGATGTGACATCGTTGAAACGGGTGGATGTGCTGACAAGGCAGGGTGTGCTTTGGAAGGATGTTGCTGATAATTAGGCATGGAGTGCTCGGGCATCATCATAGGTTTTCTGAAAGCCATTAGATTCTTGTAAACTTGGTTAAATTTATCTGAAGGTGGCTGAACTGGTTTATCTCCTCTCTTTCTAGCGCGAGCGCGTTTGTTCTGAAACCACACCTAAAACAGTAAAAATTAGAGTACATGATATTTATAAGAATCGCATGAATGTGTAGATTAGTTATACCTTGACTGCAATAACCACCTTCACATTCCATGATACAAGAAAGGTGGCTTTTGCAGTTAAGCTATACAAGTATGAAGTTCGTAATAGCTTGACATTGTGAAGATGGGGGACCCGGAGTTGGTCGATTTGAGGTAGAGTTCGGGTTGTTGATAAATTGTAATAATAAATTGTGATTCACCTAGACATAGTCGCTTGGAATAAGATATTAACCACTAACCTTTAGTTTGCTTACAGGTATCTGAAGCTCATCGGACAGATGATCAAGTAGATCAGGTTTTGGGTAAGGATCTTCTTCGAATGCTCTGTCCATAGCATTCAGTTGTTTTGTTGTGTAGCTGATTCTGCCTTTTCTCTTATTATTGGGAGGTGGACAATTTAGAGCTTGTTCTTCTGAGGTAGTTTCCTGCAATGAGAACGAGATGTAAAAATTAACACACGAAATATCTATTTAATTCGGCAGTTATGATGCCATATAATCAAGCAAAATCAGACCCATGTCACAGCCGTTGTATCTGCTCTAGACAGTTATTAATAGAGTATTTAGACCTAAACATTTGGTTCTTATCAGTATGGATTTGAGCATAGACTGTTACCTTGTGCTCGCTTGTAGTGCTTAGTTCCTCGGTTGAAGTGTTGCTAAGATGAGACGAATTGTTAGTTTGGTTAGCACTGTAAGAATGGATGTCTGATGAATAGGCGCTGGGTGGTCGGTTCGGATAAGGATGGTGCATATGATGGTTTGACATGGTAACATTGTTTGGCATGTGTGGATGTTGGTTCACAAGTCGTGGGCCCTGGTGAATCTGGGGCGGCCCATGGTTTACACCCTGTGGTTTTCCAGCACTATGACTTGTTTGGAGTGGCTTTTGGAGTCCATGGTGTGGTTGATGGGATAATCTGGTGATGCCAACGTTGGGATGTGGCATGGTATTGTGTGAATAATTCTTTGGGTAACCCCCTGGATGTTGCTGTTCTTGACTCTGTTCTGTATTACTGAAGTTTGGATTATTAAAGTTTGGAAATTCTTGTTTGGCAATATTTTCTTGTTTCTTCATACCTAAATATAAACAAAACACGTTAAGCATTAGTTAGAATTATCTCCAACTGTCGAGACATAGTCCTAATCAGTAAACTTGAAACAGATACAATAGCAATCGAGCCTTTGATTTTCACAAATTTGATTCCCATTGAAAAATGACATACCTGGAGGTGTAATCATTAATTTCATTGACACCGGTGCCTGGTTTAAACCAAACGAATCCAGGGTTGCAGACTCTGGATTCTGAGATTCATTCTCAGGATTCTGGTGTGTACCTTTCCCAGCGGTTATGAATTGATGTCCGTGATGCAACTGCTGGGAAGTGTTGGTCTTGGTTAGTTCTGGATTTTGTGAATGGTGCGAATCTCCATGTGGAATACTGATTTCAAGGTCTGATTGGTCTAGCTTCTGCTTTTGATGTGGTGATTGTTTCAGTGGGTTTTGGGAACTCTGATGCTGAGAACTTGATTCAGGATTGTTTTTATGTCCTTTCGACTGGGAAAGAAATGGAGGGATGTTTAAGGAGTGGCCAAATGGCTCATGATGTTTGTCTGTTTTGACAGATTCCTTTTTATGCATATCGTCTGCTTCTAGTGCGTTCTGTTGGGAATATGGTGGGATTCCAAAAGGAGGGGGCATCTGTTGATGATGAAACTGCTGTTGATACACTGAGTTTTGGTGGTACATCATGTTGTGATGCATTGGATTCTGGTATGGATTCGGGTACATGCTGCCATAAAAAGGAGGATAAGGATTGTGTGATCCATAGTACATGTCCATTCCATGATGTGCTGGAGCTGGTTGATGCATTCCGAAATAACCTGTTGGGGACATCTGGCGGAAATTGGTTGGTGACGTCTGGCGATTCTGGTGAGCGGGTGGCGGGAAGAAAAACGGATCATTGAAAGGAGACAATCTACCAGAAAAGTCTGGAAAATTGTTCGGTGACAATTTGCTTCTGGCGTTTTGTAGGTGATTCTCTGGTGTTGATTCTGCCAATATGCCAGAATTATTGGGAAGGTTGTTTGGGGAAGCAGACAATGCCACTCTTTTGAGAGTCCTCTGGAACTCTGGAGTTGTTTCTGGCAACATGGGGAATAATGGAGACAGTTTTGTTCGACTTTTGTGGTGTTCCAGAACAGGCGTCGATTCAGATATTGGGGAAACCCCATAGTTCGTTATTTTTGGCATCATGTCCTTATGTATCATCTTTGGTGAAGTTTCCTTGGATTGCTCGTCTGGATTGATGGGCTCAACTTTCGGCTGGACCGTCGGTTGACACAAGTTCTTATTTTGGTTTGTAGGATTTCCACTACTTCTGTCATCTTTCGGCTTCAACTTGACGGCAACAGAATTGTTTTCATCCATGGAAGACTGCTTTATTTGAGAGGTTTCCTTTATTTCGGTGGATTCCGTTGGTAGAGCGCGTGGAACGTTCCCTTGTTTCGGTTGAATTTGGATTGGTTGGCCATTTACGGAGATCCATGGAGGCATCGAGTTCTGATTCGGAAGATACTTAGTCATAAATTGTTGCCAACTTTGAAGCTGTGAGGTCTGTGTTTCTGGTGAAGACTTGATTATAGCTTGAGGTCTCGGAGCAATTTCATGCTTCGTAACTTCTCCTGGAGGGTTTGGTGTCAAATTTAGAACTGTGTTGGTTTCAGATCGTATTTGGATACTCCTGGTGTATGCAGTATGTGGTAAAACTTGAGGAGCACTGTTATTATCCTTTTTGGTCGATTCTTCAACGCTTTCAGACTTTACGATAGCTATTGGACGAACATCCGGTGAAGGTTGGCGTTTTCGTTTGGGATTCCTTTGGGTTTCGGTATTCTCAACATTTGCATTGATTGGTGCGTCACTGACTACATCCTGGGAAATCCCTGAGGCCATGAGAGCAGCCTGCACTATCGACTCGTATTTGGGATCATTTGCATATTCAAGTTCACTTTTGCTTTCTTGTACTTGTGAAGTGACCATCTGTGATTCTTGCTTAATATCAGTTGACCTATCTGCTTGAGATTCAACTGCAGTTTCAGTCTGACCATCTTGCTGTTGCTCGCCGGAAGTCTCTTGTGTTTCTACCCCACTGGCTAACATCTCTTGTTGCTTAATATCGCTAAGTATGGCTTGGAAGGACTGGTGTAAAGTAAATGTCTGACTGAGGGAATAGTTCTGGAAAGATTCTAGTTTGTCCAGGAGACTATCGTCCTGGAGGCGGAGTTTCTCTGGTCCCTCGTCCATTGTTACGTTAATGATGCTCTCGTCTTGCTGTTTGGTTTCGACTATGATTATGGATTCGTTCTGAATGTCACCCTCGGGACTAGACATATCTTCCCTGGCTCTGAAATGGACGTCATTTAACTTTTGCAACACTTTGAAACAGCAGATTAAAGATAGCATCGATAAGCACCATTCCAATTTTCTATCAGACGTCTGTGATTCCTGCAATTGTACTACAATTTAGAGTTTAATGAGGTTATTAATCGCTAAAAATGCTTTATCACATAAGGACCTTCACGATCATTGACGTCACAACACTTAGTTTAAGTGGAATTGCAGGAACCACAGACATTTGATTGGAAATTGGAAAGGTGCAAATTGATGCTATCGGTTCTACGATTTAGAAAATCCTTTACAATCTTTTTAACGACCCCTATTACGATTGAAATTGGAATTCTTGTCATGGTATCACCTTATTTATGTGACATTTTATTGACAATTTTTGAGCAAATAATAGTTTCCAAAAGCATAAGTATCAATATACATGTACCAGCCTTTCTGTAACTTTTAAGGGATTTTGCTAAGCGCACTTAGCATGTGGACTTGCATACGCAATTCTACACTAGTGTAGGCTTTTAGCTGGAAGCGAATGATATATAGGGCCTACTTGTACCTGATTTGACAGAGTTCTTCAGAATTATTGGAATCTTGGTTATCAGATTCTGGTTGTCTTGGAAAAGGACAAACTACAGCTTGTGCTTTTCCCATAAGGTAAGGAGCATAACCCCATGAATGATTTTCCGATTGAACGGATGTTCCTCCCGGAGCCTCATCTTCATCCTGTTAAAAATAAGAATTTTCATGATAGCATCTGCTTACTAATACGTTACGATACGTGGGAATAATGAAAATCAATTGTAGCCAAGAAGTAAGGACAATAAAGAAAATATTTTCATACTTAAAGGGATTGTAAAGAGGTTTTCTAAACTTTTTATGTGTATTGGAGACATTCCAATTTTCAGACGTCTGTGGTTCCTTCAATTCCACTATAACCAAGTGTTTGATGACATCGCTAATCGCGAAGTGTCAAGTGTGATACAAGCATATTTTGCGACGTCACCAAACGCTTCGTTTTAGTGGAATTTCAGGAACCACAGACGTCTGATTTAAAATTGTCCCTGATACACATAAAAATATCAGAAACCTCTTTACAATTCCTTTAATCGCATGCTGTTTCAAACATACAGACTGGCTTTCAGCAGTTGAAAGAGCTTCTGGCGTCAAAAGTATATCATTATTGTACGGTTTTTGACAATTAACAAAATAATTCAATAGAAATTATCTTACCTTATTTTGCATGTCTTGAATCTTCAATGATTAAGTCCAATTGTGAAAATTAACATAAATAATTAGTTTGATAACGTTTGTACTGTTACCTCTTGACTATTAATTACATACTGGTTAATTATAACACGAGTTATCTCCCTTATATAACATTTTCACTCACGGCTCTCTTGAATTCTGCTCTATTTCCTTACAAAGCTTGGATCACTTCACGTTTCAATGGATTTTTACAAAGAAAATGAATTTTAATGAGGCCTAGAACATCTCATCCCTGGACTTCAATATTTTAAATTGTCTATTGAGCATAGTTTAGGCTACCATGCGCGTCGAAATCTAGACTAAATTGAGAGTCTGTCAGGCCCCTTACAAATTTGATATAGGCCTTCAGAAGAGATGTTCGTCCTTATCTGTCCCTTTGTCTACTAAGTAACTTAATTAGGGTTTGATATACATCACTGACATTTTCTAATGGTCTTGTTTGATAACAGTTATAATTTGAATCGAATGGTGTCTGTATTACATAATAACATGACACTGCTATCAACTACATCTCAATCCAACAAGCCCATTGGCAAGTGATTTATTATCGATGGATTTAAAATGTGACAAACATCAAGCTGTGAACAATAAAATCTAATAATCTATCTGTTAACAACAAATTAACTAATCTATTTAATCCTATTAATGATGGCCGACACACTTCGGACTTCAAACCTAGCCCTTGCGTAAATAGGTTTATTTTTATATTGATCTAAGAGTCGTAATTCCCCCCCCCCCCCCCCCCCCCCCCCCCACTCCTTACCTCATACATAGTGAGAAGTTCATTTTTTATAGCTTAATATGAATTAGGACTAGGGTATATTTTATCTCAAATCTGCTGCAAATTTAGGTGGTTCGAAGCGAGTCATAAAATTTGTTTCCCTCTCAAAAACAGTATTTCTGTTATTATTATTTGTTAGGCCTACAATATATCATGTATGCCTACATCACCGCCATCGTTCCCCAAAACCCAAAGCTATAAACCCCTGGCTGCCGCCCTTATGCTCTCATAACAATGGCCTAGATTACATGATCTCGGACAAATTTATCATTTTTACGTAAAAAATTTGAGGTAAATAATTGAAATATTTAGATCGACAATATAATTGATAATAACATAATTTTTAAGACAACCTTTATCTGGGCCTGAGGCAAAGAGAAGTCCGTCCAAAAGAGAGCCGTTACCAGCAAAATTTACGCTTTGTTCATTTTCGTCTCAAAATGCAAATAAAAGATCTTGAAATGTTTTCAAGGAATTGCTGTTGAAAATTGAATTCAAGAAGCAGCAAAATAATTTATTTTCCAAAATCTTTAAGATTAAATTTTTATGTTAAGTTTTGCGGGAAAACGCTCGTGACAACACTCTATAACCGTCATCTTTTCCCACAATTCCAGGCCGAGCGTCACGCATGCGTATATCACTAATAAGTGGAACACCGTTAATGATGAGTGGTAAAATTCCAAGGAAAGGTAGAAATTATTTTCAAATTTTGAATGTAAATAATGGTTTCTGGTTTGTTTCTTGACATATATGATATCCGCACCATTTTGTCTTTCAGCTTTGATCCTTCAAGCCCGAAATAAACGTCGTGGCAAGCAAAAAACGAAGTTTAAAAATGAAGACAAGAAGAGAACGTAAGACATTTTTGATATTTTTCATTCATGAAATCATTTCTCAGCTGACACTCATCAGTGATTCTAATTACCCTTTTCGAACATTTTGTTTTCTTGCATCTTGTTCGCCATTCAAACGTTTATTACGTACTTGTAAGCTATATCTTTTTAAAGATTGGACAAAACAAGACAACGAACTGCCCCATTTTTTATGACAAATTGAATGATCCAGAAATGGTTGACCTCAATAAAATCAAAACAAACAAAAGAAGCATGGCTTCTATTTCTAAGTGCAAATTTTTGGCTCATGTCTCAATGTAACCTTTTGATTGTGGATATAGATATCTACAGATAAGAGCCATGGATTAGTAGGTCTATTTTTATGTGAGCTAAGTGATTGGATGTCATTTCCCTAGCAACATGTAATTTGTAAGAACCAAGCAACTATGACATCATGAAATTCATGAATGAATCAAAGCCAATGAGTATTACTAGACAGTACATTAGGTATCATGAGATAGTTGCAAAATCTTACTTTTAAATGGTCACAAAGGTACATTTCGATGGTACTGTTGTAAGAATACACCTTATTTTACATTACACTGATACAGGTATAATCACGGAAAAAAAAAATTTTTAAGATGATGAATAAACAGTTTTAATTTCAAATAAATTTTGTATCGTTATAATAAATAAAGACCTGTTTGTAACCCTAACAAAGACTCAAAAGGAAGGTGGGTTCTATTTCAACAAAATGTAAAATATGGCCATCCCTATCTAACAAGGTTGTAAGTCATTACAAACACCTATGCCTATGCCTACTTCTGCTTATTTGTTAATGCCAATGTCTCAGAAATTAATTCTCCTTTGTGATTCAGTACTTATAGACAGTACTGGTACTTGGAGTTAGACTTTGTTGAATATTAAACTGTTTTTTTTTTTATACCAGAATTTGACAAAATTCATTTTCATTTATTCAAGGTTGTCTTGATCATTCTATTATAGTTTCTGCACAATATGTCTATGAAAGTTTACTTCAATTAAACCTTGGATATTTTGCGTTAGGGTGTATTAAGAGAAGTCTCAATGAAAGCACTGGACCAGATCACAGAGCAATAGATAACCTTGTTATGTGAAAATTAGTTAAGTCATTATTATGATTTTAGTTGAAAAGACACGCACATATAATATAGCAATTGACTGTTGACAAAGATATTACTACTGTCAGACCACTACAGTTTCAGATTCTGAAGTGCTTTTGCAAATAGTTCTTGTCCTTCAACCTTTTATTTAGTTAAAATAAAACCTGGCTTTCATGAAAATAGTTGTCACACATTTAGTCTCAATAGACCAAATATGACCCTACATACATCATTGATTTTCTTAAGCTTTCTTTTGGGTGTGGCTGCCTTTAAAATTAACACAAATATGTTTAAATTACACTAAATTGATAAATTGTTTTGCTTAGCTTTCAGTCAAAATTAGAATGAATTCATTGTTAGTCTAGGTTTTGTTGGATTTTATTTTGGTGATTTTTTTTCAAAATTCACACTTATGAATTCATGTAAACCTAGATTATAGCTATAGAATAATATTGACTGAATAATAATACCTTTAACAAAGAAAAACAAATAATGCAAATGAATAATAGGTTGATTACTTGTGTAACTGAAAATAACTTTTTGAATGATTTGTCACTATTTAAAATAAGCTTAATAGTTACAGAAATAGTAAAATATATTCAGTGTTAAAATAGTGCTCAATACATCCATTGTAAAGTGATATAGAAATACCACTGTTAAAATAGTGTTCAATACATCCATTGTAAAGTGATATAGAAATACCAGTGTTAAAATAGTGCTCAATACATCCATTGTAAAGTGATATAGAAATACCGGTGTTAAAATAATGCTCAAAACATCCATTGTAAAGTGATATAGAAATACCAGTGTTAAAATAGTGCTCAATACATCAATTGTAGAGCGATATAGAAATATCACTTGTTAAAATAGTGCTCAATACATCAATTGTAGAGCGATAAAGAAATACCACTGTTAAAATAGTGCTCAATACATCAATTGTAGAGGGATATAGAAATACAACTGTTAAAATAGTGCTCAATACATCAATTGTAGAGTGATATAGAAATACCACCTGAATATATCAATTGTAGAGTGATATAGAAATACCACCTGAATATATCAATTGTAGAGCGATATAGAAATACTACTGTTAAAAAAGTGCTCAATACATTAATTGTAGAGCCATATAGAAATACTACTATTAAAATAGTGCTCAATACATCAATTGTAGAGCGATATTGAAATACTACTGTTAAAAAAGTGCTCAATACATCAATTGTAGAGCCATATAGAAATACCACTGTTAAAATAGTGCTCAGTACATCAATTGTAGAGTGATATAGAAATACCACTGTTAAAATAGTGCTCAATACATCAATTATAGAGTGATATAGAAATATCACTGTCAAAATAGTGCTCATTACATCAATTGTAGAATGATAGAATACCACTGTTAAAATAGTGCTTAATACATCAATTGTAGAGCTATAAGTTATAAGAAATGAGAAATATTAAATTTTTTATGATATTCTAAAATAATTATTGTGTGACTAAGTTGATTGAAGTAGTCTGACATCAGTATATTGGGTGTTGACTAAGAATCTGGTGTCAGTTTGTAATGTGATTCATACTATTACCTGCTGTCTTATTGATTTCTACATCATGAAATGGCTAATGAATAAGTTTTTAACACCATATACCAACCTAAATCACTTTTGCTACTTACTGTTGACTAAATGACATGTCGTTCAAATCTTATATCACTGTTGACTGTTGTTTATGTGCAATTCAAATTTCCCGAAATTACATCCTTTATTATTTATAGCATCGTATATTGTATAATTTCTATTACTATCACGATATATAAGCAGATCGATACATATCGTGATAAGACATCCCGGACAAGTCATTATCTGGAAATCATACGATAGTAAAAGATTCATTGAAACTTTGTAGATAAAGTGTTGTATCACGATGCAAGTACATGTATCCCAGCTCATGATTGTGATACAATATGTTTCCTTGCCTTAAAGGGATTGTAAAGAGGTTTTCTAAATTTAATATGTGTATTGGGGACTCTGATAGTATCAATTTGCACCATTCCGATATGCCACTTAATCTGAGCGTTTTATGACATCACTAATCACAAAGTCCAGCATATTTTGCAATTAGCGACGTCATAAAATGCTTAGTTTTAGTGGGATTGCAGGAAGCACAGATGTTTGATTGAAAATTGGAATGGTGCAAATTGATGTTGTCAGATGTTGTCAGTGTCCCTGA